AGCGGCCATCTGCTGAGGCCCACTGGGGTTCAAGGAGACAGAAGCAGACATAGAAAAAGAAGCATAGATACAAAAGGCAAAGGCTTTCAGAGTTCATTGCTCTCTTATCTAACCAAATAATAACTTTATAAATCTAAATTTAGCTAACATAGATGGTAGATATCCATTCATAGCAGCAGCCTGATAAGATCCTGAGGTTTGAAGATATACCAGAGAAATATTATGGGAGAAAGAGATGAACAGCGACGGGGGAGAAACAGAGAACCAGCTTCCACTTTGCTATCTGCATTAATTCAATAGTTTCCCGAGGCAGATAGAGATGCTTACTGGCTAGAAATGCAGAGTAAAAGCCTTCAACAATACACACGGTCAATTAAAGCTGACCTCAGATAGTTCTCATAAACAATTCAGCAAACATTACTAATGAGAAAATCTGCTTGGACTGTATTACAAAGCTGCTGCAGTCCTGCGCATTCACACACTGCTTTCTTGGATGTTGATTCTGAGGTGGATTTCAGCCAAAACACCTCGGGCCACAAAAGGCACAACATAACACAGTGCCAGCAACTGTGCCGAGTCAGATCTAATGTGTGCACTGAATTATTTCAGCCGCTGTTACAAATCTGCAGGTATAGTGCACTACGCTGGAGATTTATGGCACTGACATGAAACAGAAATATATATATATATATATATATATATATATATATACTGCTTAAAATATCTATAGGCTCCATTCAACTCATAGATAATGTGTGAATGCTTCTAAATTCTAAAGTCAGTATGATGGAAACGATTTAAGCTTGAGGTAAAAACGCTCAATCTTTTTATGTGAAAGACTGTCAGGGTGTTTTAAGTTAAGTTAAAATTTGGTTAACTTGCTAACCACCTTGAAAAATGTATAAACCAGTTAAGCCCATCTGACACCTGCTCATGTTTATCTACGTTTATAGAAATGGCCAAAAACAGTCACATGGTGTTTCATCCACACACCTTTAAACGAGGATTTCAGATTTCTAAAACAGGTTTCAAAATTCTTT